AGGTGAAGCAGTGTGTCTCCTAAAAAGATAGGTCAGGTCAAAATCAGAGGACAAACTGTCCGCAGGTATTTCTAAAGCACCAATAACCTCGAAGAGCCACAACATGCTAATACTGGGGGTACAAGATTCTGCATTTTGCATTAACATACCAGACAAACCACAATATACTCCTTAGACTGCAGTAAGAAAAGAGGTGTAGGGTTATACTGCTGGAGCAAAATCATACAGCGCATATTTTCCTCCATGACAGTAATACCCAACTCTCCCCTAATCCCGCAGCTGGGTCAACCTCCATACGTGCAGCTCATAGTGTTGGGAACTGGAGGTGAAGGCTCACATAATCAAGTGCTCCCACTCCTTTCTCACTTTCAGCAAACTTGTTGAAGTTAATACTTTTCCTGAGCCCATGAATATCACCAGAGAAGCTGTCAGCCTCTCCACAAACCTTGTTAATTTTAACACCAATGGTAGCTTAAAAAAAAAATATACACTCCAAACATCCGCATCATTAGCACGTCAGGTTATACTGTATACAGTTCATGTCCATCTCAAAATGTGATGACTGGTCCTTCCCATAAAACACTCCAGAGATTTTCCTCATAAAGATCAGTTTACTTGTCATGAGCAGCACCACTCATCAGCAGGTAACGATTCAAGGTCAGTCCTTACTGCCATCAATGTGCAGCTGTTGAAGAGAACCAATAACTGTTAGTGTATCATAAGGCCATGGGGACGCTATAAAAACTACATTTGGGTCATAAAAAACAACTTAAGATCATGCTGCCAACATAAAATCTCAGGAAATGTTAGTTATTTTTATACTGTCAATACTGTATTTTGGTGATTTATGTTGAGGTTTGTTTTTTGGGTGTTAACTTCTTGACCCTAATACCAATTTTATCTTTGCTCTTTTTGTATACTGTATAGTAGTATCCATAAAAAGTTAATCACACAGGAAAATATGCATACGGTAAGTGCATCTCCAGTATATCAGCTGACTCCACTCTCATCTTGGACAGCTAATACCCCTCTCCCCATCAGGCGGGTGATACAGTGTCGCATGCAGCCTCTGCCGATACACAGTCTGTTGTTCCCCTGACAATAAAACTGATTAACTCAGAATGATAGTCTGGGTCTCCACAGCACAAACTCACATACTGCCTCAAATCCCTACAGTATGCTTTCCTCAGTTCCTATTATTTATTTATGCTGAGCGTACAGTAATTTGACACCATTTTTTCCCCCCATGGTGTATGTCATTAGTTGTAGTTTGATATGTTATATTTTTTCTTCTTCCGGTGCTGCTTTTTTCATGTCCTTGCGGCTGCAACTTGTTCAAGACAATTTTCCCTGCCAACCAGAATACATTATATATTGATCCCATCTAATCTTCTTTTGGAATAAGAGAGTGAGAATGCAGGAATATTAGGATCTTATTCCCTATCAGTCTGACAGCACAATATATAATTTACTATTGACCTCACTATAAAATTAATCTTGTGTAAGCGGTGGTTAAGAACTTGTAGCTATCTGACCTTGAACACTTGTCCTTGGCCTGGCTTTTATTGCAACCCGCTCACATACCGGTACATCTGCACACATTTATCACCCTCTGTAAAAACCACTCTGCCTCTCTACAAGCGTCTTTGGGTTCAAGAAAAGCGCTATAGAAATAAAATATATTATTATTATATTATTACAAGAGATCCCTCTCAAGCCCCGTATAACAATTTGACACTGAGTTTCTTCTGTTAGGTGAAATTGTGCAAGCACAATTATATTACCTTATTATACCTTGCAATTATACATTTACATCAAACATTATTTATTGGACAGCCTTGTCAGCCTCTGAGCATGATTCACTTGTTGCAAATAGACAAGCAAAGAGATGGCTCCTGCTGATGAACACCTTTTGCATGCATAATGTTCAAAATCAGTCCCTACCTTGATTGGACAGTATCGGTTAAAATGTCCATTGATATAAAGTTGTTAATGTCAGCAATGTTACACATAGGGTTCATCAAATCTTCCAGTCTCACTTCATTTGGCACGATTTATGTGTGTTTGGGAATGTCAGTGTATAAAGTATCAACGTATGTTTATATATACAGTATATGCACAGTTTATATATGTTTTTCTAAATATAAGAGAAGCCTTACAGTCACTGTTGTTCCCTGAAGCGATGGAAAACAGATTGGCAACAAGTGAGATCACAGAGCGAGTGATGATAAAAGCGTCAGCTGAGCCGACTGACAGTGATTTGAGATGACACTCACTGTGGCAGCTTTTCTCTTCTACTCCCTTATGGAGACCCTGCTGGTCACAGTGAAGACTCAAACAGATATAACTGAAAATTCTAACTTTTCCAAGTGCTATCCAGCTGATCTCTCCATGGCTCACACATTCTTTCATTTCGAAAAAGCTTAGTGAATATTAATCCGGCCATCTGAACCCCAGATTTCACAAAGATAAAGGCAGACACTTAAAATGTTAAAAACCTAAATTTTCTTTACAGTTCATTTGCAAACTAAATGTCATTTACTGCTTCACATAATGGAGAGTCCACAAAAAACCTTTTCAGCTCCTGTTTCCAACACAATCCACAGTATTCCAAAGGGTTAGTCCAAACGTCAAAATAAGATCTCCACAGTTTTAAGAGGGCCTAGTGAGAGAAAGTATCTCAGAGGCAGATATTAAACTAGCAAAACCAAAAAACTACCTTTATAACAGAAGATGTAGTTGGAGTTTTTTAAATCTTAAAAGGATGAATTGTGTCAGGTTAAGCCTCAGAGACATATGACCAAGTCGGCCCAATCTCCCTGGATGATAGAAATGGGGACGATGGACAAAAAAGAAACAGTTAGAAAAGTTCACAGAGCAATATTGTAGCACAAATGTCTAAAATGAAGGCACTAAAATCCCTTTAGTGACTATAATGATCATCAGATTTACATTCAAAGCTGCAGTGCTGATGTCAAGGCAAGGCGAGGATATCACTTTGTAGACTAAGGACACATAAATCATTTCAATCTGTAAAATCTCTGCAGGAGTTTACAGGTCAAATGAACACAAGGTAGACCAATAAAATAAATGTCCTGCTAGTTACAACTCAGTGAGGAGGGTCTGAGACATAATAGACCTAATAATAATATAAACCAGCAGTTCAAAATTCCAACAGGGGTTAGCTCAGTTTATCTAAAAACTCAGAAGCTGCACTGAACAGAAAATAGACAATGTCTTTTGGAGGAAATACAGAACTACACTCTTCTCCCTGTTTGACTGTTTTGGAAGAGGATTAAAGCTTTAAATTCAACATCAAACAAAGTCTAACCCAAGTCGGAAGTTGTTGCTGACACACTAGAAAAATTGGCGAAGCAAGCATGTTGTGTGGACTTGCAGAATAAAGGAGGATTTCCCTCAGTGCTGTCTTACCACCACTCATCTCTTCATGTGCGGGTGAGTCCCTCAAGGAATTTAACTTGTTTCCTGCAAAAAGGCTACAATTCATACGTGTGTGAGCAGATGTCTCCTTGAATTATTGCACTGGTCAAATGCCTGAGGCTAAATTACTTCTCATGAACTCGAGCTGGCCTTCTGTGCCATTAGGACAGTGTACATTTAGCTCCACATTACAAACAGAGGGACATTTTCTGTATTACAGTAGGTCTTCCATGGACTGACAGTAATGGCATTTTCAGATTTTCATTAGCGCAGTGTAATTAATCTGAAGCAATTCATAGAAATCAGGTCTTTCTAATGCTTTCGCCACCATGAAGCAGCAGCCGGCTCCATTTCTTTCTGAATGAAGTATTACAGCTGCAAATTATTCTTTTAGTGGCAAACAGCCAGGAGGAAGGTTTCATTCTTCAACTGAGGCTCAAGGTCTATAAACGACCTTTAATGGTCAGCAAATCAATGGGTCTGCCAATTCATTTTTTTTATATGAGACAAATCATTCTGTGAGAAAAAAGGTCCTAATGAAAAATGTGTATAGACATTGATAAAACTAATTTCTACCTCATTCTGCAGGATATCAGCTTATATATTACAAGAAAGTATGTCTATGAACTTCATGCTCCTTTTTAGTTCCTGCAATTGGGTTCAAAGAGAGCATTGAGAAACAGATGGTCTTGGAGTAGTTGTTTCCATGCGGAACAACGGCAACATGACAACGTTTTCATTGGTCCCTCTTCTTTAGAGAAGACCAGGAAATGATGGATACACGGATCGTGTTCAAATCAATAGGCACGCAATGACTCTAAGTAATAGTAAGTAAAGTAAGTAAAAACTAAAGTAATGTAAAGTTAAGACTCTTATCTGCCAAAGCAGCAGTTGAACCCTTTTAATAATGGAGTAATTCTAAACCTTCAGCTTACTTTAGAGCTTTAATGCCTTAAACTGCCAACACAGCATGTGTTTTACTGTCTTAGTCTTAGCCTCAATTAACCTTTAACATAAATTATAAATAACTTCTGGTAATATAATTTAGTTTATATCAGTTAATTACTGGTTTAAACTAAATCATATTTTAAGCCTCGAATGAAAACGAACGCACACAGTTCTGAAGTATTTATACTTTTATGTCAAAATAGAGCACATTGTACAGCATTAGTGATTTTTTTTTAAAAGACAGTATCTCCCAGAGAAGATCTCTGTAGGGTTGAGATTATTCATAGGATATCAATATACACATATTGTGTGCATATTTCCAAAATAACATGCAACTCAGTCATGAAGACACTCACAGATTTAGTCATGGACACACACTCACATGGTCCCTCTTAATAACAACATCAACAATACAAAAACATTTACATCTGTGAAGGGCAATATTTCAGGTCAATGACACCACACACACACACACACACACACACACACACACACACACACACACACCACACACACACACACACACACACACACACACCACACACACACACACACACACCACACACACACACACACACACACACACACACACACACACACACACACAACACACACACACAACACACACACACACACACACACACACACACACACACACACACACACACACACACACACACACACACACACACACACACACACACACACACACACACTAGTTGTGTGCTTAAAATGTTTATAACTCTGTCTTAGTGCTTTTATCGAGTCCCTCTGCAGCTTTTGTCCTCAAGTCATCCTTCAGCCATTTGTTGAAAACAGCAATGGGGTCGATGTTCCAGTGTTTATGGAAGGAGATGGGCACCTGGTGAGCTAAGAAGTCTCTGGCGTAGTCCTCTGGGCGTGCCTGAAAGGTAAGATTAAGTACAGTAATTTATATCTGGAAGCAGCGACAAGAGACTGTGTGCAAGTGCTGCAGGCAGCAAGAATGAAGGCATGAAAGAGTATGTGGAAACAGAGAGTGCATACTGAAAACTGAGCAACTGGAACCATTGTTTGTATAAAGGGATTCAAACAAGAATAAATGTTGAGGCAATTTGTTAATTTTATTGTCTGATTCATTGACAGAGTAACCATTCATTTTGGATTAAATCTATATGTTGCTGATTTCACTCATCTCTGCTAATCGAGACAGTGAGTGGTATTGATGTCTTTTGGTTGACACAACTCTCACTCTGCTGTCTGTGTTGAACAAATACAACTTTTTCACAGAAGGCAGGTTGACATTTCACAGTAGGAAAGCACAACATGTTGAAGTTATTAAATGAACAATGGCTGAATTCCATTTAGATTCTTCAGTTTTGTTATTGTGCATGCTGGCTCACTGTCACAACCTACTGAGATACTTGCATAGAGCTCTTGTTACAGTAAAGCCCCTGTCACACTGTCCCGAAATTGACACCCGATGGACACACGATAAGGGAAATGTTCAAATTCGGCTCTGATCGTAACAAGATCGGGCCATTCGTGAGGGCATCTTAAGCCATCGTATGACCGCCGGTGGAGTTTCTCAGGCTCCGGCAGCAACTTCATGAGCGGCAACTTCGTAAGGCACTCGTGAGGGCATCTTGTCGAATCGTGTCATCTTCGTGTTATCATCGGTGCCATCGGGCATTCGCCTTCACTCTGATCGGGGCGAATGCCTGATGGCACCGATGATAACAAGATGCCCTCACGATGGCCTTACGAAGGGCAAAATGTACACACAAATTCAACACGAAAATGAACCTTCTCAAGGTCCTTCTGCAATTTTTTGGCATGCCAAAGATTTTCCCACCGCTCACGAAGTTAGCCTGAGAAACTCCACCAGCGATCATACGATGGCTTAAGATGTTGCTACAATCAGAGCCGAATTTGAACATTTCCTTTATCGTGTGTCCATCGGGTTGTTTTATTGCACAACAAAATCATGTAAACATATTATGTAAATAACCCAATTTGTGTTCTGTGAAACTAAAAAGGATATCATATATTATTTTGAAGGAGAGTTGACAGGAAGTTGTTGGAAACAACATTACGGAGAAAACGTAATATTTTCTACATATAAAGATGGATAAAGTAAAGAACAAAGTCTGAAGATATCAGTACAGTATCATAGTACTGTAACATAATTGTTTTTGGTACTTTCATTGCAGTTGTATGTCTTAAATGTAATGTAAATGTTGCCTTCGTGTGTGGTTCGGGGCCATCTTCGTGCGAAATTCACAATTCCATATTCGTGTGTCCATCGGGTGTCAATTTCGGGACAGTGTGACAGGGGCTTAAAGGTGGGGTAGGTACGTTTCAGAAACCGGCTCCAGATACACTTTTTGTTATATTCCATGGAATGCTCTTACCATCCCGATAGCAATGAATATCTTAAGTGCTTTGACAAAAAATCCATTAAAAAATGTCATCTGTGGAAGCCATAGTAGTACTGTAAAAAGCACGACCAATCATTTTAGCCAGCCCGGCTAAAGTAACTGGATGACCGACCTGCCTGTCAGCCTTCCATCTGTGCACAAACTTATCTCGTGCCCTCATTGGTCATGTGCGCGTTTTGATTGATTGATTGAAAAGTGTATTAACAGCTTGTATATTGGGTACAGTACAGTACAGCTCAAAACATACAATTGTTAAGGGGATGCAGACCAGAGAAAGACTTTCGTCTTGTTTACATCAGGGTCCCCCATTTCCAATTCATCATGTCATTTAAGACATATAAGACATATTTGACATACAGATGGCTTATTTACAATTTACATACAGGTGTTTTTTTTACATACAGATTGCTTATTTACAATTTTCATTTAGATTTCGTTCTAATACATCCTAACCGGACATTTAAGACATACCAAGTCTACAGATATACAGTTCGTGTGTGTTGGAGGAGGGGCTCTGTAAGGAAGTGGCAGATTTTTTCCAGCTGTGTATTTTCAAATTCTAGCACACTCGAGCTGGTTTCTCCAAAATTACCTACCCCACCTTTAATGTATTGTTATGTATAAATACTAGGGCTGTCAGTCGATTAAAATATTTAATCGCGATTAATCGCATGATTGTCCATAGTTAATTGCGATTAATCGCAAATTAATCTCACATTTTTGATCTGTTCTAAATGTACCTTAGAGGAATATTTTTCAAGTTTTTAATACTCTTATCAACATATGAGTGGACAAATATGCTTTATGCTAATGTTTATTATCATTTGAACAATGACAAATATTCTCATGAATATTAAACACAACAACCTCTGAACATTACAAATATTCGCCTCAATTCAACCTGGAACCTCTCTCATACAATAATACAATACAAATGGTGTGTGTGTGTGTGTGTGTGTGTGTGCGTGCGCACGTGCGTGTGTGTGTGTGTGTGATGGATCGTTGGAGCTATGTGCAACTCAAGGCATATGCTCGAACGGGAGCTGCCTGGACGCTGCAATCATGTTGCGCACTATCCGTGCTGAGTGTGCTGACTTTTCGTACAATGTCCCACTGTCTGGCTTCCTGCATAAAGTCAAGTACTCGGCGCAGTTGTGGCGAAATGTCGCTCCTCTGTTTTCATTTAAACAGCTCCATATCCGTTAGCGCAGCTAGCTAGCACCAGATGCTAACAACAACAATGCACGTAAGGTCTCTCTCTCGCTCGCTCGGGCCACACATACACACACCCTCCCGGTCCTCCCAACAGCCAGTCGGTGCCTGCCGGTGAGCGTGGAAGTGTGGTCTGCCACAAGCGGGCGGCAGGAGCAGGGCTGTCAGCATCAGCTTGTAGATGGTATTTTAAACTCGATGCGCTCTGAAACTACGGGGCGGCCGAGGAAAAAAAATACACATGTGTTAATCGCGTTAAAATAATTAGTGGCGTTAATTTTTGTTGTTGAGTTAACGCGTTATTAACGCGTTAACTTGACAGCCCTAATAAATACACACATGCTTTTCCTAGTATGACTAGCTGACTTCCGACTTGACAACATGGATGCCCATTCGGATCCATTGTAATTGTAATTAGACTTATATATAATTTATATAGTGCCTAAATGTCATTGCAAAATATCTTTAACCTTTAAAAAAACAATTCTGCAGAAATCAATGAGATGTCCAATGATGTGGATAGTTGCAAGTTATACACATGCAAGTCATTCCATGAGCCCACATATTTATTCTGTTTGCTCTCAGAAATTCCTGATATCTGAGTACTGAGATTTAAGCGCATCGTGAACAAAAAACACCTGTGGGAGTGTGCAATGCCTTTGATATCAGAAACTGGCCAGTTGAGTTTTTTAGTGCTTAAGCCGAAAAACCTTTTCCAGTATATTTTTGCTAAAGAAATATTGTGATGAATTTTCATTCCAAAAAAAGAGGGGAAAAAAACTCAGTATGACCACCGTAGGTACAAATACACAGACGGGGACACACAGAATGTATTGAAAGATTGTGAATACTACCTGGTGGAAAAGAGCACTGTGTGTGACAGGAAGTCCAATGGCATTGAGGCACATTCCAAGCACCATGTCATCCGGCGCATCATTGCTGTAGCACTTACAGCCGCTGTTCAGGAGCTGGACCACAGCCTCCCTGCTGAACACCATACTGCAGCCACACAAAGAGGGACATCAGAGAGAGCAGATACACAACGCAGCTACATTCAGACAATTTAACTGAGCTGTAAATGATCAGTTTAGAGTTATTGTTAGAAATGACCAGAAAATAATAAGCATGTCTTTCAACTGTCATCTTAAGCTTATGTTATTCAGTCGGTAAGAGGGCGGCAGCGTAGTGAGCACAACTGAAAAACAAGCCGTGAGGGAGATGTGGCTCTGCACAACAAGGATGCGACATCTCTTTGAAAAGAGATGCAATTATATATGAAGAAACAAATCTCGAGCTGCCAAAAATAAAAACTGCTCATTGCCACTCAAAACAGTTATTAGAAGATATCACTTTTGAGAAAAACTGGCAGTTGCAGGGCTGTTAAGTGTCACGGCGAGTGAAGTAACCCTGAATAGAGTTTCTCACACTGCTCACTCAAATCGACTGATGTATCTGTTGGAGAGCTTTGCTGCAGCACTGACAGCTGAAATATAACTTCTACTTATTGTCCACTTGTTATAAGAAAATAAGTATCTTTTAGAATTTGTATTTGTGTACAGTATGTTTTCTTGCAGTAACCAACAGTTTGTATACTGTAGTGTGAGGATAAAGTAATGACTCCCTCTCTTGTCTTATAAACTGACCGTCTGTTTACTGCATTTTGTGGTGATTTATTCCACATTTCTATTGAGTATATTTACTGTAAGACAGCCTGCAAACCACAGGGAGCAGCACAGCTTTAAACTGAATTTAAATGATATATCTGTAAATAACATATTACAGGTTTTCCATTACATATTTTATAGTCTCTCTGTTGCATCTGTATCTTTCATCATTATTCCCTGAGCGTCTGAGCTATGAAACTCACCCTCCACCTCCCGTGATGTAGCTGTAGCCCCCTTGGCTCAGGCCGTAGCCGTACCTCTCCCCCAGACACACGGGTTCAGATGGGTCGTAACAGCTCAGCAAGACCTGCAGTCTGGAGAGGCTACAGGAAGCAAAGATCAGACTCATCATACACTCATGATCATTATACACACACGTCTCTGCAGGTACACACATATTAAACTGTCCATTTAGTAGCTGAAATGACTGCCCTCCCTCAGGAACTATAACACGTCCAGAGGCTTCCACATGAAGGGGCAACCTTACGGATATAAGTGAAGCCGGCTGGACTGGAATTTATGCTCTGAGCTTTTCAGATGTTCAACAGGATGGTAATATTTCTAGAACTAATTTCCCCCTAAATGACTTCATTTCCAGCATTTCTCTCTTTCGATGTGCAAGCCTTTTCATGGCTGTGTGAGCAGAATCTGTTATAAAATGTATGAATACATGTCACTCAAACGTCGAAGAAGAATGAAAGCATGGCATTTAAAAAACAGACACCGTGTCCCAGTTGAAAAAAAGGGAAGAAACGCCGGTTTGAAAACCCATTTCTGAAACATGAAAACATACCTGATAAGTGTGTCGTCGTCAACAACAAGGAGCCACTTGGTGTTTGGGACAGAGCTGGTCAGAAATCTTTGAAGGATTGCAAATGTTTTCCCACAGTGGCCTGCAAACAGAGACATGCTATCAATATACTGGCCTGTACGACGACTTCATCACGCATTGACCATGTGCTCTATGCTGGAATACAAAGATAAATGACCTTTGCGGTAAGAGAAACACACTTTGCATAAGCAGGCATTTACATCCACAGACATGACTGCATACACAAAAACCCACACACACAAATAATTTGAAAGGGAGTTAAGCTTACAAAGAGTCACAATTAATTCCTCTGTTTAGTTTAAAGAGTGAATCAATTTTTCAGCATGAATACCTAATGTGGGAATCCCGCCTGGGTAGTGTTGATATTGTGCTCTTACTGATAAACTAAATAATCCTTATAATTAGTCTGTTTTAAAACAATATACAAAATATAGCAACATTTTGTTAGAGGACACAAGTTATCTTAATATGAGCCTTTTAGGAACAAGTGGGACTACTGTATCCAAGCCTAACAAGGAGGAGAACAGCACCATACAGTTTGAACAAGTGGTATTCTACTCAAGGACATCTCAAAAGCATTCAGGGCTTTACAGTAGGCGGACACTTCAGTGATCAAAGAAGAGTCACACATTCAGCTTTGTAAGATGCCTATTGTACAGCATTAAAGGAAGTCTTCCCAATGCAAGGACACGCTGTCCCGAGCTTAGTGTGCAGGTAGAAAGCTGGTGCCTATAATCAGGGCCGCCCCTCCCTACAGGCCAATCACGCAGGCTGCATGGGGCCCCGCCTTGCGCAGGGGGCCCCGCCCAGAGGGCCTCAGCTGCTGTGCGCAGTTCTCGGCTCAGTTCTCCGCGCACCCCCGGCTGACACGCGAGAGTGAGAGGTGACAAGGGGAGCACGTCTGTAACCCGACACCGTTGCAATGAATCGACATCTGACCAATCACGGCTTTGATACGGCCACTAGTGCAGGTGAAGAGATGTCGGTGAAAAGACAGTTTCAGTCCGGCACAAGCAAGAGGGAAAAAAAAAAAAACATGAAGAAACTAGAGCATCACTCGAAGGTGGGTTATTGTATGAGTCAAATGTACAACTTGCGAATGTTGTATAAGTTAAATTGCCAATTGCCATATTAAAACATCAGCTGCAATTCACGACATGAAGAAGGCAGTCTCTGCAGAGCATACAGGCTAATGGAGATGCAGTTATTTCCAGCATTCTTTATTTACCATTCATTCAAGTATGTTATGCCTTTTATCTGCTAATGTACAGGAGGAAGAGTGATACACTGTCTGTCTAGTTGGCTTACATAACAGTTAAAGTTTACAGCCTAAAAAACATGGAGCATTTTTTCCCCATTTATTCATTTTTATGTCAATTTGCACATTTCATGGTGATGCTCAGCCTCTCCCCTTAACTCCTAACAGTCATGTCAACCACAACACAGAGAAATACTGATAGAAATGTGTGTGTAGTTGTTGATACATTGCTGACAGAGGGAACTACATTTGAATACAGATTTAAGAAATATCAGTTTTTGAGCATGTCATAAGCATGTTTTGTCTTGACTATATTACAACTATATTATAATAAAATAATATAGTATTTATATTATTGAATTGATTATTATTAGTAGAAGTTGTTTATTTGCATTAATTATATTTTAATCTTTTTGAGGCTAGTATTTGGCAGGAAATGCAGACGTATTCACCTGTAAACGCATACTGAACGACATACATGCACAACCATTTACCTCACTGCATAAAAAAGTGTTGATAATAATAATAAACAGGAATTATATTTGCAAACTAGTCAACCTTGTTTCCAAAAAATAATTTGTTCACTCCTGTCGGTTGGGGGGGGGGGCTCATCTCACAATGTCGCTTGGGGCCCCAAGTTGGCCAGGGGCGGCCCTGCCTATAATCTTGCATCCCGAAGATATACTGTAATGATATGGTATGTTTGGTATGATGGACCTAGAAGATCATATTTTTAGTATGCCGTATGTGACATGCCTGCCATGTGGAACAAAATGTTCTGCCAACTCCTGGAAATAAAAAAAGTGATGTGATAGTAGACAACAAATATAAGGAACCCAAAGAAATATAGTCATCAAATACCTGCATGCCATCAGGACTCAGAGCTGAGACATGAAAATCCCATGTGGCAAGCGTCACAAAGAATACTGAGGTCTTACTGTTTTATTTATAAGGCTCCCACAGTGTTATTTTTTCCTGGAATCTGAATATAGAATAAGTAAGGACACCTTGAACTGCTGACAGGAATCAAATCCAAAAATGCAGTTTCAAAGGCAGATCTCCAGACAAGCATGGTAATCTTATTTCTAGTTGGAGGAGGTTAGTGAGTGACATTCAGGGCCATGGCAGCAGGTTCCATGTTCATGTTTTCATGCATCTTCTATAATTTGAATGTCACCTCGAAAAAGAGACCCTACCACATGAACTTGACTATGAATAGTTTGAGTATTTACTTGATAAAGTTTGACTTCCAATTTCAAGGTCTTGCATCACCTTTCTACTCACTTGACTATCAAAAACTTGTTACCTCTGTGGAGATTACCTTTCAATTTTCAATACTGTATTTTACTGAAAGGCTTTTCAGCTTTTAACATATTTCAAATTTCCTTATGATCACAGTTTGCAGCAACATTACCAAAATACTTTAGAATGGTGTGAAAGCTTATTTTTAAAAGGCAACCAAGATAATGGGTTTTATGGTTTAAGTATAGCCTTTAGGTCATTTTTCTTGATGTAATGTATAATGCATAGTTTCAATCCATCTATCTTGACGAAATGGAAGGATAAGAACAAAAAGAGAGAAAAGATTGTATGTCCTGACTTTGAATGAATTATAGTCTGATAATGGATCCAAAATTGTTTGGGTATTTGGCACAGATGCTTATGTTTGACCTCTATCGTATACCATTTGATACAGGCTTATCTGATTAACACAGTTGCCTGGGGCTTACATTATATCCCCATGTGACCGACTGCAATGCATTTTTTTTTTAAAGACGCAGTGTGATACTTGTTTTCATGTTGCTGTTCAATCAAAGGTCAGTCGTCTTATAGTCTCCTTTACTTTATCAAATCAAATCAAATTTTATTTGTAGAGCACATTTAAAAACGATTTTGGTCGAGCCAAAGTGCTGTACATGTAATTTAAACACATAAAAACACATTACATCACAATAAAAGACAATAAATCACAACAGATAAAGCAACACATGGAACAGTCAGGAGTCGTGACCCCACTCTAACTAGAGGGCCAGAGAGAAGTAGTGTGTCTTCAGTGTGATAGACATCAGACATCAGACTTCAACCACTGTAAGGAAACCTACTGTTTGTATTTTAGGATATATTTGCATTCTAAGCGCTCTGTCTGATTGACAGTATGCATAGTTACCAAACAGAGGGTAGCTTAAGTATTTGGCAGCTTACCAAACCAGAGAAAACCCCCTGCCTTGATGATGGACAGTGGATTGCTGTCAAACTTCCAAGACTTAATTGTTGTCTCCAAAAAATAAATGCTGGCATGCAGTGCAAGGCAAAATGAAGGGAAAAAAAGGCACTTTCTCCATGATGATCTATGAGAAAGAATGATCAAACTCTGGCTTCAGAAAATACTGGAATAATTCTGCAGTGTTTTCTGGAGTAAGCCATTAAACTCTTGGCACCCGGAGTAAGGTAACCTGTCCAGTTATGCAAATGAGCAGGTTTGAGGAGTCAGACAACTTCCACTTGATTTTTGTTGACATGGCATTACCAGCTGCTAGCTTGGAAGTATGCACAATGTGAATGGAGCACACGTCATTTCTTGCCTTGACCCTGGTATCTGTCGCACGGAGGGAGAACATCATGAACATAATATACAAATAATGTTCCTTTCCTTAGTGTAATTAACAGATGACAGTTAATTATCTTTCCGTTATCAACTACAGCTGCAACAATCAGTCAGTTAATAGATAGATTTTTAAAGAAATAATGTAACAGTCGCTATACCTCCACCTCGTAAACTGGGAAGATTTTGTGGTTTTCATAGCTATACCATATCATATCATAAAAAACGTAATACCTATAATGTTTTTTGGTTGGGTGTCAGACAGCAATATTGTACTGGGGCCTATTATAATCAGTAGTGTTTCCGAAATCTGAACTAGACAATTTAAACACCATTCAGTCAATACAATGAAATATAAACCATGTGCTCTTTTAGGTAGAACATTTATTTTAAAACTATACCACATTGAATTAAAATGTTTCCACCTATGTGTAACCCCTAAGTAGTCATTCACTGTATGATACAATCAGTTAGCATGTCATTGTTCTCGTCATGCCAAGTTTGACAGTTGTTTTGATGTTTTAAAATCAAGGTCTTTTAAGTTTTGAAAAAAGAAGAAAGAGTAGGCAGGTTTCAGCCAAAATTGGCCCAAGTAAAAACAATAAAAAATAATTGCTGCATTATATGATGAGCAGCACAGTGGTAGCCTAGCTGATTGTACTGTGACCTTCCTTTTTATTATGCCATTTTAAGTTGTTGTGCCGTTATGATGAGATGCATCAGGATGCCAGGATGTAGTGGTTGCTGCAATCATGTAACAAAACACATTTGCATTTACCGGGGGCATTTTGTTGTCAGAATATGACAAGGACTAGGCTGAACAAAATGCAAACCACATCCTCATGCTCTTCACAAACCAACTAAATGTAGTCCGAGTGAGACGTTTAATTGGTTTGAAATCAGATTTTAGCTGGGGTGAAAAGCATCTTCAGAAACCTGATCAAACTTTCTTTGTGGCTATTTCTCATTTACATTTAAGTTTAAAATCATCTAATGAAAAGACTCCAGCGAGGGTACAGTAGTAACTTTGACAGTTGGTGCAAGAACTATCTGCACTTCAGTGTCAGGAAGGCAAAGTAGATGCTAGAGAATTTGTTACAAAGCAAGAAGCCACTGGGACCTGTCACTATCCCCGACGAAGAGGTGGTGGAGACAAGGCGGCCCTCAAGTACGGGGGTTGCATATCAACAACAAACTGAAC